ATTATATAAATCATTTGATGCTATTTTCATTTGCTGGCAAATGTTATTAATAAATTTTACATAACCGATAACTTCTAATACCGATACATATATTTATATATCCACTTTCATATATTCTCAATTTTTATACGACCGTCAAATTTGACGGTAGTATTATGATGGTATGGCGTTGTCCGTCCGGTGTAAACTTTGTTTGTCCGACAATCTCCTCCTACATTTTCGACTGATTTATTTTAAACTTGGTATACATTAATATTATAATCATGATAGGAAGATGTCTCCCTTAAAAGAATTTTGATTCGACAATTTTTACAAAAGTTATTGCCCTTTGTTCATTTCAGTATTTGATTTTTTGTCTTAAGATTTTCTCCTACATTTTTTATAGCATATCAGCTAACCACTCTTAGAATGATGCAGATCTTATTTCAATGTAAGAAAGTATATAACACTATATGGGGGCGGTACTCTTGTTTATTTTATTGACCCATTAGAAATTAAACATTTTCAATTTAGACTTTGCCCACAATATTTTCAGTATGCTCATTCCTAACATCTTGACATTTTCTTATTGCAGGAAACCTGCTGTGACCTAATATAAAGATCCAAAGCTGCTGACTAAATATAAAGATCCAAGGAACACTAAACATACCATGGGTTTACTATCGATGCCTATCTATGCTTTCATTATTAATATATACATCCAAGGAACAATGAATATTCCATGGGTTTACTATCTATGTTTTCATTATTTATATAAACATCCAAGGAACACTGAACATTATCTTGGTTTACTATCTATGCTTTCTTTTCTAATATATACATCAAAGGAACAATGAACATTCCATGGGTTTACTATCTATGCTTTCTTTCCGAATATATACATCCAAGGAACAATGACTTTTCCATGACTTTTCCATGGGTTTACTATCTATGCTTATGATATACTTGTGTCTTTGCTGAAACCATCAGCATAAGATGTTTATACAGAAAAATGTTTAAAAAATTTTGTCCTGTTTTAAAAGAAAAATGCCAACATTAAAGATTTTTTTTCCAAATTGAAAATTTCATAATCCAACAACCTGCTCTTGAAAATAGTTCAAGTTCTTGTCACCAAACAACATATCTGTTGAAAGGTCGACTCGGTGTTGTAGAAAAGTATGTGTTAAACAAAATTCCAGTGTTTTCATCCAAGAATGTAGATATCCTCAATGTACCACAGTCCCTGGTTGGAAAACATTTTACACACATTTGGACAGATGAAGGAAAAAACAAGGAATGGAGAGGAAAAGTTTGTTCCTATCATAAAGAAATATTTCAGGTTGTCAACAAAATTTGTAATGACAGTACATGATGAAAACTAAACCTTTCACATCACCATTTCAGAAATCGCCAATAATTACTTATGGTGATGTTGCTACATACATTTCCCCCTTTTTAATAAAGAGGTCCTTGCTCAAAGTTAACTACTTTGACATTAGTATATTAAAATAAAACATGTACTGTTGTAAATTATTTCCTGTTTAGAGGAGGATGGACCTGTGAAAAAGAGGTGTCATACGTATTAGCTATCAGCCAGTGCAGAATACTCTGAATGCAATTTTCTCCATTCACTAACATTTTATTAATGGGAATGGATAAGGTTGTCTATAGTCTTCAGATTTGTTTTTTTTTCACAAATGCCACACAGTAAGGCCTAGATCCCCCAAAACTCCTTGACTAACAGTTCTTGAATGAAATGGATGGGATTATCTATACTTTTCCAAGTTTTTGTTTGTTAACAAAAGCCATGGAGTAAGGCCCAGATCCCCCATAACTCTGAATGAAGTTATCTCCCTCCACTAATATTTCTTGAATGAAAAGGATGGAGTTGTCTATAGTCCAGGTTTTTTTTAAACAAATGTTGCACAGTAAGGCCCAGCTCCCAAAAAAACTAAAGTATCACTATTTGTCTCTTCATCACACATTTGTTTAACCCTATAGCAAAATATGCATGTTTTATTTTGTCTGATTGGAAAAGGAAAGAAACTTTTGCTTTAATCTGAATTTCATAGTTAAACTTGCCAAATCATAAGATGGAATTTAATTGTACTATAAAAGTATTTTAAAGAAAACATATTTTAAAGAAACCAAAACAATCTTTCCGATTATGGCATGCAATCAATAAATATTTACACAATGAGTTTCATTGTATTCAACCCGAGCCTCAATATAAATTTGATGCCATTTTTAGAACCTCTTTTCATTTTATAAGTAACATGAACATATTGATTTAATTCAAAATACATCTAACATACTATGCCTGTATTAATACATTTTTACCTTTTCGCTTTAGGTTAAATATTGACAGTCTGATAATAGATTGTATCATGGGTTGCAAACATATTATTTCTTTCCTTATAAATGCGTCTAAAAATATCCAACAATGTTATAAGTACATGTACTGTACCAGGAAAACCTTTTTCCATCTAAAAGCTGTTAGTTCAATTCAGTAATTTATAACTGTTGTTTCTTTCTTTTTTATAGACTCAGCATAGAAGAATTTGCAGACATGACACATCTTTGTGGATATTTTTTGTGAAACAGACTATAATGATAAAGTATATAAAAATATTTGGCAGTTATTTCCCTTTATTATTTTTATTACTATGTTTGTACCTATTGAGTTACCTCCCCTCATTAACATACTTCACTTGATGGTCAGAGTTTACACAACGAAATTCATTGAAACTGATTGGGCCAATGAAAATCAAGCTTTCTCCTAACATATGGATGCACTTAGCATTCTTTTTCGATGCTTTTCAATGGTTTAAACCAAACATTTAAAAATAGTTGGAAAGGCTACTATTATGTGCCAAACATTGTAATTGTGCCTCAATTAAGTACATGTACGCATGCATGTGCGCGCGTGTGATTGGTTGAATGGGGTGGTCAGTAAAAACGGAATACACAGGCAGACCAGATTTCCTGTCGCGTACCAGCCCATTCCTCTTGTAAGAGAACTCCCAAACTGCATGGAAATCTCAATTATTATCACGTTGATTTTCGATGTTTTCTCGTGGCATAATTATGTTTTGAACAGGACAGGATAATTGAATGCAGCGAACCAATATGTCGCAGCTGGTGAAGCGTAACTCGTGATATGACATCCGGTTATCGTGACCAATGGTAAGGTAAATAGCAAGTTCTCTGTAATATATACATCTCCGGTGTAAGTGAGTGCAGGGAACGAAAACTCGTTTTTCGATAACCAACTAAATGTGAGACGGGGAGACAGAATCCTTCGACTGCTGTTAAAGAGAACATTGACGAAACCAAAATAAATCTGCTGCCCCATATCAACAGGAAAATAGCTCACATGTGTTCTGTTCAAGAGTCTCCCGGGATGTAACGATACCGCGCAGTTATCTTTCTAATGGAGACAACTCGCCCAAAGTTTTACAATTTTCGCTATTCCCAAGGTGTTAGGCAGGGAGACAGAGTTCATCTTCGAGTGTGCTCCAAGGACATTGACAAGCGAAACTTTATCGCTATTCTCATGGTGTAGGGTAGGTAGACAGAGTTCGTTTAAAGAGGATCTTTTGCCATCATATCAACACTTGCATTCTTTTTCTTTCCTTTCGACAATACATAGAAAACTGTCCTGTCAAAGTGAAAATTGTTTGAATCATTAATAAAATCTTTATCAGCATAAAACTCTTGACAAAACAAGAGCATTTGGATTGTGTGTGCTATTATCGTCAAGCCTCCGTTCGAACGACCGTACGAGGCAACTAATGTGGGGCTCCCCTGTAGAAATTCAATTTACTTATATTATACTCCACAAACATACCAAAATGGTTTGTTCATCGTCTTCTATTTTAGTGGACATACAAGAAATCAAGAATAGACCAGCACATGGTTCGTAACAGGCAAAGAAAACACCTGTTGTTACCCACTGTCGTATGAGGCGACTTATGTTGTAACCCCCTGCAGAATTTTGGATTCGTTTAGGTGTCCTCTATTTGGGGACACAAAAGCAACCAAAATAAATCTTCTGCACCCATTGCATATTTGGGATCCATATTTTTCTTTCTACTTCTAACTATCTTTTATTTCCTAGCGCCTTTCTTAGCAATACCTCACATTTGGCTTTAATGTTGAGCCCAGGTAAGGTAGGCGATGGATTTGTCCCCAGGCAGGGATATACAAAAGTCCTTAAAAATGGTAGTTGTTATTCCCTGCTAAGCATTTAGGGGAATGGCAGCAACTGGTTTACCCGTTGTCAGTGTAATGTGACCGGGTGGAATGATGTGATTGGTGTCTTCGGCATGGTATTTCAGTGAGATAACACTATAAAGTCGGCTATCACAAGGAGGCAAGCACATCAATTTCTATTAACATGTTATGAGAAAAGTAAGATTTGGAAGTATCGACAAATTATATAATTGCACAAATTGTGTACAATCAATGGCTCTCGGTTTTAAAGATTTTAACCTATGACATCATAGCGACCATATTGGGTTTTTGACCTATTTGGAAATGTTCCTGGAACATCTTCAGACCTTGGCCTACAACATATTTAAAAGACTCGAAACCTATCTTTTACTAGTCAAAAGAAAGTACGGAATAATAATAATATTAAGAATAAGAATAAAAAAGAATAAGAAACAACAAAAACCAATAGATAAAACTAGTGAAAAGCCCTAAGAAATATGTAGCACCAATTGCAATAGTTGGGATATTTATATTTCTCTCTACTTCTAACTAACTTTATTTCCAAACGCCTTAAATGTTGAGCATTCGCCCAGGTGAGGAAGACAATGGGTTCTGTCCCCATGCCCGAACACACCAAAGTCCTTATAGTGGTAGTTGTTCCCTGCTTAACTTGTAGCATTAAGGGTAAAGGCAATGTCAATCGAGTCAAAACCTCCCAAGTTGTTCTGGAATAAGGAATATTTATGAAACAGTTGGCAAGGGACAACGCATATCATAAGCAAATAAAAAATAACAACAACACTGCATTCATAATTTCAAAAATATGGTTTATTTGTAGTCTATATATTGAAACAATAGAGTGATAGGTACATTCACAACGTGGCTGAAACACATATAACATTTGTGGTGACACAAACATGGCCTCCAATGAAGGAACCAAATATTGTGTGACCAAATAGGCATTCCACCTCCGATCCTAACTGTGTCACAGGTGTCTAAAAATGAAACTACTGAATAACATGTCGGACCACGAGCTAGCCAAATGGTATTTGAAAGGCAGTTTTGATGTCATCAAAACATCTTTAAACAAAATATTATAGCCTTGTTCAATATTTGAAAACTACATAATTTCCAAACGGATATATAAATTACTCCGAAGCAAACTTTACAGTCCGGACCATGTCCTTAAAAGCATTTTAGTACTTAATTTAAAAAAATATTGTAAAAATTCGCCGAAATATCTAAATTAATGAAAATAACACTGATATTCGAGATATCCTTCCGAATATAATGCAATGACTGCCACGATACTAGAAAACGAATTCAAGAAAAAAAATTGGAGGAATGAAGTTTATTCGAGAAATCTGATATCGTAAAATACAATTTCCACGTGAGAATATAGTAATAACCAATTTCAAAGTGAGAAATGTTAACAGGAGCATTTTCCTTTACCCTTTCACCCCTATGTAGCTTTAGTTAACTCTACCATGCATTGATCTGGATAAGTCCATCATGGTCTATAGTGGTGAAAGGGCTAATGTCTTTGCAAATGAGACCATAATTCCTTTTAGGATACATAAAGCCTCTTGGTAACACATGGAGATGATGATGGGTTAGGTTTTACGAAACAGACAATACAAAGTAAATTAATGCATTATTGGATGATCAAGATATAATGAAACAATTACGATACCATTCAGAATGTTTCCTTAAATAACTGGTGAAGTTAAAATGAGACACTTAGGTCACAAGTAGGGGAATTCATCCATATGCAAACATTATATCAATAAACATTTAGCACAAATTCCATAGACATATGAATTTGTAATTTCAAAGTTAACATTCATATTTGCAATGTATTGTAACAGAAAGCAATTCGTTACTTCAATTTCCTTATTGTGCAATATTTTAATCTCAAAAACTTAAAATTTATCAAGGCTCGACATTAACAGTTGTCCTAGACAGTAAGGGCAGCACTGGTACTTTGGACTTGATTTTTCATTTTTCAAAAACAATATCACTTGACTTACATAAATAATGAAGTAAGAATATTCCCTTTGAAAAACAGCTTTTTTTCTCATTTTTGTGTTTCAGTTGAATGTTTCCTTGAAGAAACGAAGAAAATATTGGACTAGTAACATTGACATAGGACTAGCAAACAATCTGTTCAGCTAGTGTCAAACTTCATCTATTATGATTAAGAATTAAGTTTAAATTATTGGACATACAAGACGTTCAAATATATACAACAGCGTTATTCCAGTGAGGTATCTAACGTTATCTTTATGACGTAGTTGCTTTGCCAGACAAATGTAAAAAGGATCACATGTTTAAGATTTTTTATTTTTATTTTCCAAGTTTTAAATTCCGAATACATTGTTATTCTCCTTGTAATATTTCAAGGAGTTCCATGTGTATCTTCTTTTGTATTATGTTGCCCTCGGCCGATATTCATGAAACCTTTCTCAGGCTCCAGCAATGATTTTCTGCTGAAATCTAATTTCTTGTTTTGATTATAAACTAAAATCAAAACTTTATTTTGTCTATGTTTTGGAAAATGAAAAGACTTCAAGCCGAATACTTTTTTCTATGTTTACATTTGGCTTTTTGATCGTTTGACATGAATTAACCGAGTTACAAAAATGTAGAGAAATAACTAGTACCTTTGTATAGTGTTTTACTAAATTATTTAAAACACACCCTTCCGCTTTCAAGTAGGTGCATTTTCTTATGTAGAAAAAAGCTTACTATTGCAAGAGTATACAAAGTGTAATAGATCCACATTGTTCTGTGAATTTTCACTACCAAAGTTTTTGTCATTTTACTTGATTTGCTGTTTTTGCTGTCATACTAAGATTAAATATACTTAAAGCACTTAAATAATAAGTTCAGAACTTAATAAGATGCACAGGTAGAATTGTGTCGAAACGATAATACTGCTAACAATTTCAATATTTTAGAATCGTTGAAAAATACAATCTGTTAAGGAATTTAGCATTCTATCATTTGTTTTGTTGTTTTAATTTGATGTTTATTTATAGCGGTCGTAATAGAGCAAACAATCGTTTTTGTTTCCAGTATCTACATTTTAAGATTTGAAAAAAAATCATAGCCCATTCAGGATAAATGAAGCCGAGTTATCTCGTGCTGCTCAGCACTTTATACTAGTATATAGATATTTTGCTTTGTATTCATGAACAGCACTCCTGGGAGTGCCAATAGGGAAAATAGGCACGGTTATATATTCCACATGATAATAATACAAAGTTACATATGTATACAAGGAGACACATTCACACAACCAAATCATCGACCACCTCATTCCGATACATACTTACAAACTGTACGATAGCTAAACAACCGCAACTATAGATATCTTAACTTTCTTGAAATTCTATGCCATGTTGCTAACATGCAGATGTTGCACAAGCAACATCGGGAATTACCGACGACAATCTGTATATTGGGTAACAAAACGATGGAAAGTATATCAATCCTCACCAATAAGCTGAGCTCAACAATTAATGTTCTAGTAAGGATTTACACTTTAACCCGACACTTGAGGCATACTTCAAATGTCACCGGAGCAAGTATTTACTGACTTACTTTTTTGATCATTTGTCAGGTAGTCAATTTAGGGCATTTTTAATTTACTGAGAAAGCTTAATGCCAATGACATAATATGATAATCGTATAAGCAGCAATTAACCAGCGCATATGGAATAGTTTAATTTTTTGACAGTTCACAAGTAAAACATACGTTTACGTACACCATAACAGGTAATCTGGAATTACTAACTTTATGGTAAACAGTCCGTAATATTTATTTGTGCGACTTCAGCAGGTAATCATCCAATATTACCTGGCATTTTTGACAAAATGTTTGGCATGCAATCTACTAGTGACACCTTGAATTACCAAGCTACACTTTAATTTACTTGCTATCAACTAGTGACACATGGATTTACTCATAATCTATATGGCAGGTAATCTACTAATGACTTAATTACTAAAAAATAGTTTACCGGTATTCGGCAATATCATTTGAAAGTACTGCCATATCGAATAACCGGTAATCAAGTGATAGTGACAGGTTCAGTTTAAACAAAAAATTGTGCTAATTTAAAGATTTCACATCCTTTATATACAACTGCTAAAAAAAATCCAAACATCTTGTTTTCTAAAAACAAAGTGATAATGGTTGTAGAAAGTTACCCGACATACAGCACTGACATGGCTACCTACTCCGTCGCCATGGTTACTTGAATTGCTGCCATAGTTACAGACACTTGCCATGGTTATGTATACTTGCTGTTATAATAAACAGGGCTGTAATATAATGATGGAGTTCCATAAACAGTTTGATTGTAATTTTAATATATACAAAATATCAAAGCATCATGAAAACGATAATATGAAATGGGATCTGATAGAAGAAATGATTAAAAATACACATTTTATTAATTGTAAAGTCAAATTTGCATTATTTGCAATAGTTTTTCTGGGGATTAACTAAAATGCATTAATTTATTCATATCAAAATTATAATTGATACCAATATATTATACTAAATAGTTCCATACTCTCATCTAAATAAGCACGTGCGAATTTAATGTAGAAATGATATGATACATGATAGGTTTGTCTTTAACATGAAAGATTTGAAAACAGCACCAACTGTACTGGTATAAATTGTATGTAGAGAGTTCTGTACACCTTCCCAAAGCCATTTTCATTCGTCCTTCATTTACTCTCCATTGATACGTGCTCAACAGCAAAAATATGCCTTGTTCATTAGTTTAATATATATCCCCCCACCCCCGTAAATATACTGCTAAATTATTCATTTTATAACACACACACTAAAAATATCGAACAATACTTATATTTTCAAAACATACTGGATTGTTTATAAATAATTTACCTCTAATTCAAATATGTCCGACAAATGATGTCGTGTCAATGAACCCTTGAGAAAGTTCTATAGAAATTAATTAGCATAATAAATTGATCATTGTGGAGTTAATCTTTTAAGAAAAAAATATCAACTTAAGCTCAAGTTAAGCTTTCTATAATCTCACTTTAACATTTAAAATCCAGCCAATTTCTTATAATCCTTTTATTCGAAAACCATCGTTATTTCCATGTTCAGTGGTCCTGATGTTTTCGCATGGTTACTGGTCCTTGTCTTTGACGTCCCTGAGGTCCCGAGTGGAGCTCGACCTTGTCATGATCATGAGGGATACGAGACGTCCCCCTATGGCCCAGTAGTAGAAGTAGCTGATTAGGACGAGCAAGGTTTGTGAGCCTTGAGATATGAACCACCCTTTGGTGAAGGTTCCTTCTCCCAGGGTAGTAATTGTTATCACTGCAAGTATAGCATAAATAATATTTTAATAGTATTTCACAGAGTAGAATGTCTGGTCATGCAAACAAAAAGCGAAAAATGGTGTGTTTTACTCCTATATCACCCTGGGAACTTGATTATCATGCAGACATAGGCCAATGCATTACATTGGTTTAAGCGTTATCTTATTTCGCAGTGGAGGTGGATCGACATGCAGACAAATACAAAGAGTGAAGATGATGGCCTTAATGGGACCCAACCAGTTATACGCGTTTTTTGTTACTCATACAATGTCAGACGCAAAAAACGATTGTTACAGACAACGATGAAAAAGACTTGTCTACAACCCCATCTCAAATGTAACGTAACTTGCTTCAATCATGTAGGTAAGCAAAATTAGTCCCGACTTTAATTTCCGCATCTGAATTAATCTATTTGTGATGCTTCAATACAATCAAAGGCTATTCTAATAGAGTGCCAAGGTATATTATATATATATATATATATACATAAACAACTTTTAAAAAGAATTATAACAGAAAACAATTAAGCAATACAATAACGGAACAACAAATATACAACAGCGTAGCAATAGACGAATAGAACAATAAATACACAGCAATACATGAATAAACGGATTAAACAATGTTTGCATGGCCGCTCAGTGAAACTGTAATCAAAGCACTCGATTTTCAAAAAAAAAAAAGAAGTAAAAAAGAACATACATGACTTTATTGGCAGTGTGCAATTACATTAAAAACAGTAAACAACTTAGTGTTTTGAACACACAGAAGAAGAATACATGCATACATTAATGAATGTAGTTGTAACTGGCAAGCAATGCCACAAATTTAAAATGTCAATATATTAATCATAATATATTGTGTATTGTTTCCATATTTTGTTCGGACTGACACTTAGGGTTTCGTTTATGGTTGTCAACACATTTGAGACTTGGTAATAAGGTTAGCTTATGTGATGAAGTAAACTTTTTAAGTAATATCTCTTCGGCAAATATTTCAATTTTACAGTCATATTTTTAAAATCATTATATGTATGTAATCCATTCCTTTCTCTGGGCATGTAGTTATAATCTACTGTACCGCGCTTGGACGAAAATAAGTTATCAACCCAAATAGGTTTTAGGGATAGATATAGGATTTCAACCAAAAATTAGATAACTACGTGACAAAATGGTGCAGCAAAGAATCAAACCAAAACCAAATAAAGTTTGTGCGGATGGATACCTTTTTTCGATATAGTGTCCAGTGCTCCCGTGGTTTGCAGTCTTTGGTGAGTAACCAGTAGAAATAACTACTGATACCTATGGTAACAAGTCTAGCACACAGCCACAGGACAGGGGCAGTACACAAGCTGGTGGATAGGGGCACACACAAAGCTGAAACTAGAGGAAACAACAAAACTCAGCTTTGCCGTTAACCCAAAATGTGACGGGTCGTAATGAAATGATCATTTGAATTTCGTTCACCATTTCATATCCGTTGTTTACATTTCAATGGCCAATACATCGTGTTTATTTCACTGGTCACAATTTCTATAACGTTTAGGGAGGAAAATAGGGTGTGATTTACTTGATTTAATATGGAATGGGATTTAAAATAACACTTTCAAAGTTCTACCATTTTGAACTGTTGAAGAAAAGTATAAGTCATTTTTGAAATAATGCCAATACTGTTTAATAGGAAACAAAAGGAAACAGGAAAAGTATTGGGTACTACTTTGTAATCATTTAGTATTACCAAATATTAGTAATAGTTTTTTGGGATTAGTGGAATTTCGAAAGAAACTTCCTTTATACTGATTTTGAAAATTGATCCGACAAGATCTGAACTTTCGATAACCTTTAATTTGAAGACTTAACATTTTGTACTACTTGCTAATTCTAGAAAAAGAGAAAGCAATGTATTAACACAGCAAGGCAAAAAATGTAAACATTCTGGACAACTGACACAACATCTGAATATTAAGCTAACTACTTCTACTTGTATAACTATCTACCACAAGCGGGAACTACTGTATGTGGCCGCTGAATATTATAAAGGTTGCAACTTTGACCCTCTTGGATGCAATAATCACAATTTTGAACCGTCTTATACAAGTGAAAATTCTTTGGGAACTAGCTTGTACTTTACATCGGAGTCTAACGCCCGAGTAATTTCTGAATATTAAATATCACTACTACTGTTTCTGCTTTTCAAAAATAAATTCTCGTTTACGATGATGTCAAAATTTTATGATTTTCTTAAACAGAATGTTTTCAATTCATTTATGGTTATTGAGGTTGTTGGAAGTATAAGGAAGAATCTTTTCAGAAGGTGTATTAATTTCAACCATGTTTCAACTCCTTGTGTTAGTGCAAATTGCTGCAACTTTGCACTGTTCACCAAACCAACCGAGCACATGGGTAGGCAGCTGTGAGTAGGATTTGAATAAGTTCAGGTGAGATTAAAACAGGTTAATTTGATTGAGCATGCAAAAGTTGCCTTTTTGAAATATAACATTAAAAATCAAGATTCACCATATTATGTCATTCTTAATTCGAGCAATTCTACTACTGATTGCAAATCATGCACCAATCTTAAACATACTGTATATAAGACAAACTTTAAATGAAGTTACAAGGTTTTCATTGTAAACATGCCCTAAATGCATGCTATTAATGTAGAAACTACCAAACATGCTTCAAATAATTCAATAAAATAAAAAGTAACAAAAAATATATGTTAAAAGTCAGTATGTGATGACTTGCTGGTAACATTCTGTATTTCCTTAAGTTACATCTCGATTAAAGACTAGGTCTCGGGTTCTCACATATTCACACCGTTCATATGCTTCTATTTACATTATTTACAAAAAGAGTTTGTATTTAATTTTCAATTATGAAAACATTAACAAGATTTATAACAATGATTACTAATATAATTTGGTACAACATCAAATTTCGTCTGTAGGAAGACTTCGATAACATAGTAAAATAGGCTTCCATTTCCAAAGTGGTTGTGATAGGATTCGACAACCAAGACAATCTTGTATAAAACAGGCCAGATTGTTACATTAAACAGTCTAGATAGTGGTCACTGTGGATAAATTATATTAACAAGCTCAACTGTATTCCTCTCAGTAGCATGTTATGTATGATCTCCTTACATTCTAAAGGTTGTGTCCCAACCTCACTGGGTTACTGATAGGAAGATATTATAGAGCACTTATTAGATCTAAGCTGGACTATGAACCCGCAAGAGTGTCATATCTTAATATTGTATGGTCAACGGTTTTGTTGTTATTGTTTTCAGGGCGTGACCTGTTGTCCGAGTGGTGTAAAGAATTTTCCTTTTCATCCCTTTACATCGTACGGTATTCGGCCCGTGTCTATATTTGCCTGTAACCTGTTTGTTCAGTTGTTGTCCAGGAAGTGTGTCGGAGTGTGAAATGCATGCATGCGAGCTGTGAAGTGAAAGGGGCGGGTATTGACTGTGTATGAAAGATGTTGGCTAGGTCGTCGCGGTGCACTTGCCATTGGAATCGCGTCGTTTCTATGGTACAATTTGTTTTCTATTATTATACTCAATGGACTTACAGCAAGTGACTTATTATTTCCCAAATAAGGTATTTAAGTTAGTCTTCGTTGTCGTAAATAGCGCAATACTCTGACATTAATATAACAGTCCTTGTGTATATTTATTTGCTAGTCTATAGTTAGTGGCAACTGGACAGTGAAACAGCAGAACTCGTATCTTTGCTACCAATCACCTTGATCATTGGATACCTAACATCAAAACCAGGATGATTCTGACCAAGTTTGAAAAAATCAATCCATTGGTTCTTAAGAAAAAGTTGAAAATGTAAAAAGTTTACGCACGACAGAAGAGCAAAGCTCAGGTGACCTAAAAAGGTAGAACTTTGCTATTCCTGTTGAACTTTCAGTGTTTAGAGTAATGGCAACATGTGTGCGGGCGGAAATACAAGCAGGGACAATACTTTCCCGAATTTTACGAGGGGAGGGGGAAATACTGTTATTGTTTATAGTGACGTAATGTGTAATACTACTTCAATCTTCACTGGCTATCTTCAAAACTGATATTTTCTTTTTCGAAATAAAGAGAGGAATATTATGATGGCCTCCCTTTTTTCCGTTACACGTCTACTCTTGTTTATTGAAAACTTCTCGCAGTCTTAACCAGAACTATTGTACATAAACAACAGCATCAGAATAAGCAGTATGCATCCAGCGTTATTTGAATTTGTTTGGAAAAGCCGATCTTTTAATTTCTCTTGATGCACACGTATTTTTAAACAAAGAGTCCCTGACCTTGGATAAAGACATTTGGAAATGAATGTTAACAAAGAGAAGTTAATTAGTAGCAAATCCGTGCATGTTTTAGGAAGTGTTTTTGCAGAGGTGATACCGGGACATCAAAACACAACTGAATCATTTATCCAGTACTAAACAGTTATTCGACATTAGAACCCCGTACAAAGCTCAACATTAAATTGTGTTGTAATAATTAATTTTCACCTATGAACCATAAGAACGACAAAGACTCTTATTGTAACAATTTTGATCGCATAAACACAAAAAAGGCTATGTTATGCAAACAGACAAAACACTTATTTAATATGAATCTAAAATATTTTCCAACGGTTCCTTGTTTAAGAAACTATGAAGTTCATCTCCAAACTTAATATCTGGACAATGATGTAGCTGGAATATTATGATGTAATGACAGTCTTGGAACTCTTTCATCTCGCATACACACACGAAACAACACTTGAAAATACATGCATTTCCGGTAAGTCTGCTTAACAACCAACCTGTTCATATAGGTAAAATCTAAACATAGGACTGCTAATAGAGGTAGAATGCCATATTTTTGAGTCAATATTAACTGTATTTAAAATTAGCCAAGTTGTTATGTTTTACATAAATCTCCCTCAAATTGGTACAGCATGAGATTCGTCTACTTATTTTTCAAGTCGTTACCGGAAACACAGTGCTTGGCCTTCATCCAATAAAATCTAATGATAGAAGATCATAATTGTATATCTTACAAATGATTGAGAAGTGTGTTACTTACCTATAGTTTGGAGTGTGAAGAAGATGACACTTGAAAGAAGCACCAGACGTATGATGTCCTTGTCCACCGTATTTAATGTGTTCCAGAATATCATCGACAAACCTTAGAATTCAATCGATAAATTTCATTAATTAGGTTTGAATACCTTCATTTTTTTATACTTAAATATCTTTTGGTCAGTCATTGAAAATAATTGAAAATGACAACCAATCTCAAGATTAGCATTCTAATAAAATACACTCGGATTTCTTCACTGTTCAAAATTTGTACAAACTGTATCTAGACTTGTCATTCCTAATGTCTGCAAGATTTCCTAAAAGGAGCCAATAGTATCCATCTATTGCTGATGAACGTTATGAATTACTTTCTTTATACCAAACCAACTCTATAAACAAATGCCCAACTATATATTTATGTAACATATCCGCAAAAAGCAATGATATTGCGTTTACATTCTTTAAATATCTATACAGAATGAAGTGAAAAGACGCTGCCATTTAAATCATTACCATTGTTTGCATAATCATCGAAAGCTATCCAGACAACCGCTATACTACCCATTTGTAATTCATGCTGATTTCTGTCTGTATTTGCTGTATTTAACAGTAACAATTCAAATTCATGATGTTGTTATAATAAGCACTTCTTCTTAAAGGTACACGAAATGCAAATTAAAATTATTTGCATTCAATTAACTGGTCATTGGTGTGTTACGGCTAACAAACATGTCTAAATGAATCAACTTGTGCTATCTTCTATATCACTGATCAATTAAACTAAACATTTCAAATTAATTCATCTAAAGAATATTGAATCCTACAAGTGATATCTGCAGTTACCCTTTGCATATGACGATGTGAAAGACACGAATCATTACATCAACACTCGTGATATTAAACGTGTGCATTCAGAGAGACGACACTGCCAAGGTTGTTAAAATTAATGACCGTTGACCCATGGCCGCTTTCGCTGTCAAAGAGTAAAATGTGTTACCAAAAAGGTTTCACATTGTCTTTGAAAAGTGCTCTTGGAAATTATTTCCTTGACCTGGATCAGAGGTCGAAATATGTTACAGTGACCTAGGTTTTATACATATGCCAAATTGTATGATCATGTGTGAAATAGTGTAGGCGAAACGCCAAGAAATAATCAAAAATCCTTTACGGGGTACATACATTGTATGTTAACAGACAGATACACACGCAATGTGAATACGACTTTATCAGAACAAAAACAAAAACGTGGCGAGCAATTACGGTCTTTTGTTTGTTGATCCTTATTTTTAATCACCAAGTGGCTCAGCATAAAAATTATATTTTTTATGTCAAATCAAAATACTACCAATCAAACTATAAAAGAATAAATTAGAAATACTCACAAATCAATGCTGTTCCGTAAAGTCTTACGGGTAAACGGAGGTTTTTCCCCTCGTCTGTCTCGAATGTTGAGTCAAACAGATGGGCAGGGAACATGAAAGCCTGTAACAGCAGAAACATTTACTTCATGTGGTCATTATTTACAATAGGCAAAGAATAATTCAGTTAAACATCTGATAAAAGACTTGATTTGATATTCAATACTTGTTGACGGTCCTTTGGATTGTAAACAAATATATTTCTAAAAATGATGTCATCATTTCTAATTTACATCTTCACTATCTACTGCAACCAGTCTTAACATTTTGCACAGTTATCAATATCTTCTTACTGTATTTATTGTAAAACTTTTGGATTCTTCTAAAAGGTTTAGTTTTATTTTGTTTAACGTCCTATTAACAGTTAAAGTCAATTGTCATGCTCGTTTTGCTTTTAAACGTGAACATTTTTATCATCATTAACATTGCCGTATTTCATATTTAGGTTAAATTGTTGTCATTTGAAAATAAATCTCTTCATTTCCCACATGTTTACCCAAGTTATAGTTTAATTATTTCATTTGTCAAAATGATGATATAGAAGATAGCAGTTGTCTCTTAGGGCCATGACATAAGCTTATTGACTGCGTTGAGATCTTGCAACAGCAAATCCCAACAGTTTTCCTGATCCGTAAATGATGTGGTCACTATAGGGGCCACTTAAAATGTCGTCTCATTGAAATGTAATAACCAAATCTAGTCTCCTAATTCTTACAACGGGTTACGCAGGTTTGGTTTGGTTTTGTTTGTATTGATTAACATCCTATCATTGAAGGACGGCCTCCCCTGTGTGCGAGATGCATGCGTGTAGTGTATGCCTGTGTTTTGGGAGGCTGCGGTATGTTCGTGTTTGTCTCCTTGTGATAGCGCGAAACTGACGTGGACTTTATAGTGCTACCTCACTGAAGCATACTGCCGAAGACATCCAATAGGACACCTCATCCGGTCACATTATACTGACAACGGACATATTAGTCGCCCTTACGAAAACATTCCTTCCCAGAAGCTGCAGAATACTGGTATCAAACCATTTCAAATTAATATGTTGTTTCTCAGAGACTACTAGCCGGATAATTATGAAAATTAACTGGATTATTCTTGGTTATGTTTAGACATACGTAACGCGTTTCATTAACTGATCGTCAAAAACATGGCCGCCATGGCCTCTGATTTATTGAAATGTATATGCGGGTAAACGAACATTGCCACCACTTTCTCTGATTAATTGATATATCTCTGGGTATACGCCAAGGTGATGCCAACACACTACGCCTTGATTTTGCTCAAAAGCAGTGTGTACGCCAAGGTGATGCCAAAAGACCCTATCTATGCCTGGTTTAATATTGTAGAAACTTGACATGTATGCGTTTTTAGGTCTTTCTGATGCAGAAGATAACAGCTAATATCACGAACCTCTTTAAAAGAAAAATGTTGATTCCAATTATTGTTAAGCTCAGTCTTATATGTTTATATAACATTTCTTTTCTTTTGTCGGCTGTTGAGAATCCATCCAATAAAATATTTTGAAAATTATATTCACATAAAAATGTCCAAATCAGAACCTACAACATGAAAACAATTTGTATACGAGGCTTTTATGATTATTCCTCAGTTGTCTAATTTGATAAGTTTATAACATTTTCTTTAATAAGTTCATCCCTCAAACTGCAGATGCTTCATATATTGAAACAACATGTTTTCACACCTTTGTTGACTTGGATTATTTACCATAATCATCAAAACTTTACCGATAGAAAGTCAAATAATTGCATTTTGTCAACATGAAACTACAAAACCAATTCTTAGATCGTAACTGATCGGTAGTTTTCTTCACATTTTTTTGTTTTGATATATATATTAGATATTATATAAATTAGAAACTAACTACGACTCGGTGTCTAGAAAATAGAGGGCAGAATTCGATAAATGTCTATACTAAAGACCAAGACATGTCTCAACTAAAGTATTAAGCAATTAACAACTGTCTAGGCCAAACGGCTGACATTACCTAATGTCTAGAACAAGTCAAACGAAGTCCATTTCTGTAAAGCCATGGAGATTAAGAACGACTGGTCCGTTTGTTTGTTAGTATGGGATACAGCCAAGGTCAGACGGGTACCTGGTGATGCATCACTAACAAGAAAGTGTAGGTAGAATAGGAAACAAGAGGTTTAGATCCAAAGTGTTGCAATAAGGGCGGCTGACCAATTTCGACTCATTTAAGCAGAAAACAAAGCAAACTACCAATTTTGTAAGGCACTAACATTAGTCGTTCTTACGAAAACATGTCATACCTGCAAAACCTCCCAAGGTGATCCCACCGGCCCTCTTTATGTCTGATTTGCTCCAATTTAGTATGTAAATGAATCATGGCATTGGAATCCTTTCTTTTACGACTATGAGGACATGTTTCGCTGGATTTCTATTTTTGTGACGTCAGCCAATGTTACAATTAATATTTATTTTTTGAACAGTTCAGTGACTTTTATTATAAACATACCCATATAGCTATTGCTGAAAATACAGTTGCCAGGATAATATGCCATATCCTGAGTCCTGGCGGCAGTCTCACGTACAGTTGGTCACTGTGGCCTAATATCTGGCTCAACTGCAAAACAAGGTCAAAGGTCAACTTTTCTGATATTTCAAAATAACTGCAAAATGAGCATGCATACCTTTTTGGGATTCCTACATTTAATGTAAATATTCACAAGGATTAGAATTCCGAAAATAAAGTACACATAACCATTCATACAGTAATGTTTTGTTGGCAATTTGAAGTGAGACATCAACAAATAAACGAGATGATCAATTTTTGTTTTGTTTATTCATTGTTTTCGTATCAGAGGACACAAAAGGTATCTTAAGGTATTTCATCTAGCCTTATGTTAGTGTATAGGCATTTGTTATGGGTTCACAAATTTTCCTCCAAATATAAAAGATAAGTAATTTGCTAATCATGTATCATTTGAGCACTGAATTTTACAAATAATGGTAAAAAAAACTACCTGTTCATGTACTCCTGAAGTGTCGATGTTGCTTATCCTTTTTTACCGAGAAAACTATGAAAAAGTTTCAAATTTCCAGAATAATGTTCTTTTTTAAATTGGACAACTTTTGAACATTGTTAAAGTAAATTCATTCATGCTTTGCATGATTTTTTTTTACCTTCAGTCAACTTTATTGGCTTTGTGCTTTGTTGTGATATATTCAGTGGAGGTACATGCCATTATTGTGGACATTTGATTTTTTTTCTTACAGTTATCCTCGATAATAGTGATTATATTGGTATTTCAGAAGTACATGTACAGGTATGTTATCATTATTTGTATTATTCAAGGCTTTGTCTGAGCACAAAAATGTTGTGTTCAAAATGTCACGTTTTAAACAAAATCAACAAATATTCTTTCAACAAACTGTTTCAACAATGATCATAATTTACATTATACTTGATAATCAAACTGCTTCCACAGTTAAAAATCTGAAGAGAAAATTATTAGCCCAGGACAAACTTCTACACAGATATGAACACAAATGAAATGCCATAAACTTCTATAACCACAAGCCAGTTTGTTATAGAAATTAGATAATTAGTGAGTTATGAAATATAAGATTGGAATTATCAAAAAACACTAAAGTTTCACATGTTGCAATATCATTATTTCTTTATCGACTGAAATACATCAATGACATTTTAATGGAAGTTAATATGTTTGTATTCCTAGTTTTATGGCTATTATCTTAAAGAAGTATAACGAATGGAATAAATCTTATATAATTGACATCATCATGTATTGTTATGAAAACTAATGAAAAGTATCTTATTTAGCAAAATTATCTGATGTGTTAAGGCATCAAATAACCATTATACGACATGAAACACAACAAATGGCCTATCATTAAGAACTACATTTTATTATGTATGGAAAGAGCGGTGTTCACAACAAGATCCTTTTACAGAACACATCAAACTGTAACAGGAATGGTTATATATTGGTTTAGCGAGCCGTTTGTTTATTATAACTTCAGCCTGTTAAGCCGTTTGTAAAGTACACAACCATTCTCAGCAGTCTTAACCCCTTCCGGCTAGATGCCAGTTTCGTACTACTGTAAAAACATTTTTCAGATTAAAAGCAAGTCTTGTTCAAACAGACATCACAAATCCGGTTGTGTTAAGTATCCTGTCGTATTAATCATGGAGTTGAAGACACCAGTAATCCAGTTGTCGAACTTTACCTCCAGTTACGATAACCCAGCTGTCAGTATTTAGTTGTCGAACTTTACCTCCAGTTACGATAACCCAGCTGTCAGTATTTAGTTGTCTAACTTTACTGCCAGTCATATTAATACGAATACCACTAATCCAGTTGTCCAAATTTACCTCCAGCTACTTTGGCCTAGACATCATTTATCAAGTTGTCTAAATTTTCTCCATTCAAATATCTTTAATCCAGTTGTCCAAATTTACCTCCAGCTACTTTGGCCTAGACATCATTTATCAAGTTGTCTAAATTTTCTCCATTTAAATACCTTTAATCCAGTTGTTCAACTTTACCTCAGCCACGTTAACCTAGACTGAATTTATTACCAGGCATGTTCATCGGAATGCCACTTATCGAATTGTCGAACTCAGGATAATCCAGATATCACTAATCCAGTTGTCCATACAACTCCATCTCCAGTCACGATAATACATACATCACTTATTCAGTTGTCCAATTCCATCTCTAGTCACGGTTATCTACAAATCACTATTTCAGTTGTCCGACTTTGCCGACAGTCATGATAATCCGAATAACACAAACGAGTTTTCCAACTTAATCCCCAGTCCGGTAATCCAGACATCACTAATCGAGTTGTCAAACTTTATCTGCATAAACGATAACGTATACATCACTAATTCAGTTGTCAAACTTTATTCCCAGTCCCGGTGATTCAGGCAGTACTAATCCAGCAGTCAAACTTTACCTGCAGCCTCATAAATCCTGTCACCATTAAAACAGTTTTGGATTTTAACTTTTAGTCAGTGTTTCGATTGCAGCTTGTTTACGATTTTTAATCGTAGCACCAACGAAATGGGGCTTAAGTATCTCCTTTTGTAACGATATAAAAGCTAAATGATTTCAGCGTCAATAGTATAATAGTATTACTGGCCATAAATTGACCATTTAAACCTAACAAAATCAATTGAGATCTGGTAATCCTATACTCCACAAAAACAGTTTTTTCACCATTAATTAATCAAAGGAAAAATTTGCTAAACTTGTCAAGACACAGTTGTCATACAATCTAAATATTACATTAAAGGATTGGCATCAGATCCACAAAACCCAATCAGATGCCTGACGAATGCAGGCCCCGATGACCTGCGTTACCGATGTAAATCACAATCCAATATGGCTTCATCTAAGATTGAAAATTGTAGGGCTAACCTACTAAATAAACAGTTCAGTCATAAACTAGGAACAGGTTTAATTTCAGGAATACCTGCGGCATCTATCATCTTGTTTTAATCCCTCCAGGATTAAAAATGGTAGGACTGGTCCACTAAATAGTCAGTTCAGTCATAAACGACAAACTGATTTAGTTTCAGGAATACCTGCATCCTCTCTAATCTTGTTTATAAAAGATATTGACAATATACTGCTTGAATGTTCACTGCATTGTGAATGGCACCAGTTGACATCAGCACCATGTGGAATGTTGAAAAGACATAGATTTATCAGGAGGTTAAAATTTAGGGTAGCATCTTTAGGTGAACCTGTTGAACTGTGTAGTATGAATATTTATATTTAGCTGAATTTACCATTATACATATAACAACTATTTCTTTTCCTATGTATACCTTTACAATATTTTACCTTGTAGCATTTCAGTATAATATATTACTCTTTGCGAATGTTTTTGTAAGGTGTTGTTTAGCACGAAATTGATTAAACACCTAAATGGGCCATAAACAACAAGCACAAAACCTTTACTGACCTTTGACCTGTGTACATCCCCATCGTCTGTTTCTCCGACACCCAGTAACTTTCTTGTCTTTAGTCGACTGTGTAGGTCTCCACTACTATGTTTTCTGAAAAACATGAATAAAACAAATTTAATGAAGATGAACATAACATCATTTAAAATTGAATTAAACCCTACTTTCTCTAACACAGCAGAGGTTAGTATTGCCATCTTTGCTCACACCTGGGGGGATCAGCTTGGCCCCTATGAAAGAAAATTATCTCGCTAAAAACCACTGGCTGGATAATGAACAGTTTAAGCAGGATATACTGTAAATGCAAAAAAAAATATGCAAGTATCTAATGACTTACATGATTATTATACATTTATTTATCCATTGGTGACACCACTGCGGAACAATACAAATGAACCTTTCAAATATCAGTATCTAAATCAATGTCGTTTGTGTAGGAAATTTCTATCATCAAGCCGAATTTTTTTTATTGATTAACAGAGTTTTAAACACCTTAAATGTGTTGTTTGGTTAATATGTTTCGACTTACATAGAAAATGTTCCCCCTTTATTATATAAGGTTTTCATATGGAAAGCTCACTTTGTATAAGATCCCCTTTTATACATGTACCTTAGTCTCTGGAGGGGTTGATAAAAAAGTTTTTGTTGATTAATTAGCTAGGGACCATATTTAGAATTATAGGAGGCATCCAAATAACTGTTTCACCTATCTATAACACTTCCTCTAAAGAAGGAAATATTTCTCTATCAGCTCATCTCTTTTACCAGGAAGTTTCAGGACAATTTGACTTGATTTACCCAGAACTATACATACTCAGCATCTCTGTAGAGATATTTGAGATTAAGGTCTTCATGTAGAATTTCTTTGTATATTATCGTTCTGAAAGGAATAGAACAGCAATGCTATAGAAATAAGGTTGTTCCAAAGATAGTCTTCAAAACACCAATAAAGGTTGCGGAAAAGAGAGCTTATTCGCAAATAGTTATTAATTAATTATTTAATAGTTTTTAGTTCTTAAGTGCTCCAATTAAAACAATGTCACAGCCTATTTTGACTGTCATACAGTTATTTGCCTTTGCAAGCCCTTTCCCTTAGGGTGATATTGTTCATTAGATCGTGAGCATGATATAAAATTATTGCCGCTGGAAGTCTCTGTGTCTGGTTTAACTTCACTCAACAATTTTCCGCCAGCTTGTATAAAGCATATGATGCATACAACAATGCATCTTTGCTTGAAAAAGAAAATCATTGGAGTATTGCAAGCCGAAAGACATGTTTCCGAAATATAAAACCACCAGAATGATGACTATCATTATGATATTGAACAGTACTGGTCATTTCATATTTCGCTGTCAGAGAACTAGATTTATGACATGATAGTAATTCTGTATCCTTCAAATCCTTTTTCATATCATGTCTATCATTATTCATATTCGAAATAATCCTATTTGTTCAATTTCCAATAATACGTCCGGATTTCTAGTTTCATTACAAGTATGTAAGGTGGACAATGAAATGCTAATATAGCTCCGCAGCCCTGATCATATCTACTTATGTCCACACCAAGTCATGACAATACTTTCACTTATAGTTGCCTCTTGCCAAAGTGTTCATCACGTCAAGTATGCCAGTGCAAATTGATATGTCGTTAAATGTCCAATTTGTCTGCCGAATGTCCATCGTTATTTGATTTTCAGACAAGGCAATCCAAGTGACGTTCATCATATACCACAGAATATTTCCTTCGTGATACATCATCAGACTGCCATTTACTAGGTGACATTAACACTAACAAGTTGAAGCTTGTCCACATGGCACAGATATGGGGCTCGTTTTCCGGTTTCATGAGCAAGCATGAATTCTGTGTTCTAACAAACTACCTTATAGCTTGTTAAAATCAAATGACTCAGTCAAATGTGAAGTTTAGACATTGAAAATAGTCTCTCCAATTTTTTTTGAATAATTGATCACGTGATTTTTGTATTAATATATAGCAAGAATAAGAAATTGGGATTGAGCACAAAATCTGACTTGCAGCATGAGAAATATTTCATGAATATGTTCCCTGCATAATCATGGACTTTCTTCTGTGGACAAGTCAAAATTTATTTATAGCCTCCAGTGCAACTCTTGGTATTGTACAAAAAAACCTTGCTTTTTCCTTTAAAACACTTTGTACATATATTTTCCTTTTTCTATCTTGTTTTAATCTGTTATGTGGTATCCCATTAGGCACCAGCCTTTATTATACATGCATGACCTCAGCATTGGCAAGGTTGCAAAAATGCTTATCAGAATAATATAAAAAGATACCCAACAACATTTTCCCTTAAAGAAGACCTCAACAAGCAATAAATCATTGGTATTGTTTTCACTATATGAAGATGTTCATGTATGGGTTAAAACACAATTGTCTTTTCTTCAAGGATACACTTCCGGTTTCCCCACTGGACGTCTACTTCCGGACGAAAAAAATGAAGGCAAGGTGTAGCAAGTGATACAGGATAAGCATTTTTATGAAATATTTCTGCCATCAAGATATTATAGATAAACAGCATAATAGAAGCTTCTACCAAACCATTTTCTTTTCTGTTCTGCAGAACCTTAGCAAAAGTAGTTTGAAGAATACTTGAAGAATTAAAATCTTAACAGTTTTACATAATGTATCTGCAATGTTGCTTTTTATTTATTTCCTCTGCATATCATAATCTCTGCATGTCATAAAAGATCAGTTCCTGCTGCTACATGTAAATAAGCATTAACCCAACCATCTGTCGATTTTAAAATCACGTAATTTATAGATTTTTAAGGAAATGTAGCAAAGTAATACCCAAATGGCAAAATCATTGGAATCAATACATAGACAATAACTTGCACTCAATGATACCTGCAATGATGAATGGTTTTAAGCTATCAAAAAGGAAGGTGCAAAGGCAAAGTTGTTTTGATTGTCCATTGGTTTTGTATTGTTTTGTTCTCACATACTATTAACAGCAAAGGCAATTTAATGATGTGCCTCCTTGTATGAAGTGCATGTGTGTTGGAGGCATATCATTATGGTGTGCATTTGCCTGCTTGCAATAGTACGGATCTGATGCAGACTTTAGAGTGCTTCCTCACTGAAACATCACACCGAAGGCACCCAGCTAGGTATTCCACCTGGTCAAAATTTACTGACAACGGGTGAACAAGTTGTGTCATTACCGGAAATGCTGAACGTTTAGCAAGGAATCTACCATTTTAAGGACTTTAGTATGTCCTAGCCTGGGGAGAGAACTAAGGACAAACGTGAGGTTTTTGGTTTCTTCAATGCCCCCTTAGCAGCAGACACCAACAAAACCCCTCAATTCTGGAGGAAGCCCCACATTAATAATCTTTAATGACATGCAATGGAAAACAGCAAGCCTATTCTTTCTAAGAACCTACAGGGAGCTTTTGCTCGTCCAGGTCTCTATATTTGTAGGTTTTAGGTTAGACTTTGTTTTTAAATCTGAAGATAAATGTTAACTTTAACTTGTCATTTAAATAATCCTCTTTTAAACAATTTGGCCATGGATACTGTTTTGATTGGTGAAATAACTGCTGTTTACTAGAACACTTAAGTTGTCCCTTAGATGATAATTCTATATTCATCTGGCCTTAATTTTGCCCATTTAATTATTACGTATATTAAGTTTTTTCAGTAATGAATAGTTCATCCTCATTGCCAAGGGAGGAAAAATGTGAAAATTAAACTGCAATGAAAAATTCTCAGTATACAGTCTGTAGGGATACCTTGGTTAACACCATGAAAAGTTTTCCAATAGAGAAAAATGCTCAAGTAATTAACTGTAAACCAGGACATTTTCACCTTTTTCGCCCTCCATAATGGTGGCGAATTTATCATTACAGCAAACATTTGTAAACATAGTAATCAAATGTGAAGGGCAAATTTAAAATTTGAGCGAAAATGGATTTTATTTGTCTTTTTGACAATATATCCAATAATAACAAATTCTTACCTGAAAAGCAGTTTCCATACATGGTTCACAGTAGTCATGTTAAAATCTGATTTTTTTTACAGTATTCCACAGGCAAAAAAGAATCAATTAATTTTAACAAAATCCAGATGAATGAACAATTTATCCACCAAACTTGAAAACAGATGAAATCCAACAAAGTCACCACAATGTTAAATAATGATTGATATCAAAGAGTTCAATCTTCAAACCCTATTCACTTAATTAAGTTAAATACAGTTTTGCTATCAATTTACATATATCTTGATAACAAAATTTTGATCCGCCACTTAATATCAGATTTTTGAAAACTTAGTGTGATTTGTGAAGGTGCCAAGTGGCCAGTCCAAACACCTCCTTAGTTCGACTTGTGATGGAAATTCACATACATTTGGGTATGATTATCTTTGTATGGTAACTGCTATTGGAGGAGATCAATACGCCTGCAGGGATTTAACGCTCCCACGCTCACAGGACATAATATAGACAACGCGACACAAATGCATCTACAAAGACAGTATTCCTGTCTCCACAGTCTTCTTGATTGATTTGACGTTGATTATAACTCACAGAGATACAATAAAAATGTTTCTATAATCCCTCTGGGTGTCTGACTGGGGCGATAACAGGCAGCGATTTTCCAGTGGGTGTCACCAAGCAACAACACAAGTCACTTGGCAAGACAAGATGGTGTTGAAGAATGAACAAGGGATTATGGATATGGAACCTCGTAGAAAATTTGAGATTATACCATGCCCCTATTTCTAGCACCACCATTTATCAAAGAACCTTCAACTAGACCTAAAACACTATATAAATGAACAGGATTGCAGTAGATATCCTTAATTTTGCATCCATAATATATACTGGTAAATTTTCGTTGCAGTTTAACTTTCGCCTTTTTTGCTCTCAGCAATGAGGGCAAATTTATCATGAGCCAACATAATAAACAAAACAATCAAATGAGAAGGTTGAAACTAATATATGGAGAAAACCTGGTATACAGTAATATTTTTTATATTATTTCTTTTATTTACAGTGGTATCTTGGTATCTATTTCTCTTCCAGTAGATTTTCAGGTTTATTCAGTGTAT